TTTCTCCCAATTTTTTGGTTGAAAAAGATTCATCCCTACAAAACATGGTCTTGTTTCATAGTTGAGAAATTTCCAATTTCAACTTTTTGCTGAAAAAATATAAAAAGTGAAATAATAATTCCACATTGTTCATATTTTAACTTCTAAAATCCCAAATAATGCTAGCTAGTATTTATTGAACGTGGCATTGCCATATCTATTGACTATTATTATCATCCCCACTTGATAGTCAAGAAAACCAAGGCTCTCAGGAGTTAACATACTTGCCCCATACAACACAACTAGTGAGGAAGGCAGGACTCTTCCAAGTAACAAGGCCCATGTGCTTTCCCCCAGGTGACACTGCACAGCACAAGGAAAACACTAAAATAAAGGACATTATTCCTTAAGAAACTAATGTCATTATAAATACACCTTAAGGCACTAACCCATTATAAAAATTGGGACTTACTTCTGCATATTCCTTCCTTACACACTACACAAAGGAGAAATGGATGAAAAAGAATGATCCCATCAACAAATCAGAAAAGCATCAACATTAGTTTTAAATTGGAATTTTTAAAAATCTCACAAACTGTCACCCTAAAAAATAAAAATGTAAGCTGAATCACAAGCCTAGAGATTTAAAAAAAAAAAAAAGGTTTTCATTGAAGAAGGAATTTAAAGAAACACAGTGTTACAGATCTAAAAGTTTTAACACCAAGGGGCAGAGTTTCTGCTGAAGAGTACCTCCAGTCATCACAGTTTTTGGAATGTTTAATTATTGAATGTCTGAACTACTAGGAAAATGCCTTAAAAACACAGAAAGAATTATGAGGCTAGAAATAATGACATACTCTCATTATAATCCCATCTTCAAAGAGGTGGTTCTTGTCAAAAATATTTCACTCAAATCTAAACTTGCATAAGCAATTAAGGTCAAAGAAAGAAGGAAACAGGTCATAGAGAGGATGGGGGGAGGGGGGGATTAATCACCTAACGTAGTAGTACTACTAAGGCTACTACTACTTAGTATTACTATGATGATAATGATGATAAATATGTGTGCGTATATTTCCTAAGTGGTTTTTATTTTTTTTAAGATTTTATCTGTTTATTTGTCAAAGAGAGAACACACAAGCAAGGGGAACGGCAGGCAGAAGGAGAAGCAGGCTCCCCACTGAGCAAGAAGCCCAATGTGGGACTCCATCCCAGGACCCTGGGATCCTGACCCCAGCGGAAGGCAGATGCCTAACTGCTGAGCCACCCAGGCGCCCCTCCCTAAGTGTTTAGTTTAACTGTCCTTAGAGAGATGGATAATTGTCAAAGCTTGCTTCGTGTCATGCCATGTAGGCACAAGGAAAGCATATAAGTCTTTACATAAAGCACTCAAACTTTTACTAATTCCCCTTGAGTAAAAGTCCTTCAAGTTCAAAAACTTTAGGAGTCTCTGGAAACATTTTCAAAAGTATATAAAGACGGAGAAAATTCAAATGTTTCTATTTCATTATAAATTGCTGAGGAAAAGCCAGCTATGTTCACAGAACATGCTAGCATTGCTTTCTGTAGAAAGTAACATGGTTGATATAAATTACAAGACCCTACCTATCAGAAAAGAGCAAAAAAGATGAAAATTTTCCTTTAATTTTGCAAGTGAAGAGACTTTTAAAATGCCAAAGGCCGGGGCGCCTGGGTGGCTCAGGTAGTTGAGTGTCTGCCTTCAGCTCCCAGGATCAGGACCCACATTGGGCTCTCTTGCTCAGCAAGAAGTCTGCTTCTCTCTCTCACTCTCCCTCTGTACTCTGTCTCTCTCCCTCACACAAATAAATAAAGTCTTAAAAAATAATAATAATAATAAATAAAATGCTAATGGCCGTTATTACATACAAGCCAGCCAAATATTATGATGCATATAATAAACATTCTGATAAGGGATACATACAAAACAAATGATCATTAATGAATACCTAATGTTTCAATTTTCAAAAATTACATATTAAAAAGATGAGTTACAAAATAATACAATTTCTGTTTCAAACTCCCCTAAAATTAAAGATTTTAAGGGCATGAATTTGACTTTATTCTTTAATGCAACCCACAAAATTCACCTGCCATTTATATCACACTGCCAAACAAAATTAATTCAAACCTTCCTATTTGGTCAAAGCAATACTACAGAAAATTACATCAGTTACTACCTTTGGCAAGCGAACATAATTTGTTCTGGTTTCTCCTAAGGAAATGGTAAAAAATAAAATAAAGAAATTCCTCCTGTATTTTCTTTATATTCCATAAATTACTTCCTGAAGTGAGAAAACTGCACACAAATAAAATTCAATCCATTGTATGAAAAACAAATGTCATTTAACAAATATATTCTCTGTATAAATCAAGAGCAAGTAAACATTTCTGAAATCTACATCTGACAAATCTACATCTCTGTTATTCTACAGATAGTGAAATCGAATTTATGGAATGCTTTCCAGAATATTTTCCCAGAACACGCTTACTACACCAGAATCACTTTCAGTCTGTCTGGAATTAAGCTGTGGATATATCTAGTACTACATGGTCCTGTTACGCTCCAATTCTCCCACGCTGGCAAAATACACAAGTTCACAAAAATGATATTCCTGGAGAGCAGGGTTCTTGGAAATTTTTCAATATTACCAGACTTCACTTAAAAAAGGGAAAAGGATATACAAATAGCCAGTACGCACATGAAAAGATGTTCAACATCATTCATTAGTCATAAGGGAAATGCAAATCAAAACCACAATGAAATACCACTTCACACACACTATGATGGCTATTATTTAAAAAAAAAAAAAAAAAAAAAAACAAGTGTTGGTGAGGAGGTAGAGAAATTGGAACCCTTGTGCATTGATGGTAAGAATGTAAAATGATACAGCTGCTGCGGAAAACAGTCCAGCAATTCCTTAAAAATTGAAATATATGATCTAGCAATTGCACTTCTGGGCATGTACCCAAAAGAAGTGAAAGCAGGGGCTCAAAGAGACACTTGTACACCCATGTTCACAGCAGCTTTCACAATAACCAAAGGTGGAAATGGGTCCCCAAGTGTTCACTGACAGATGGATAAATAATATATGGTATATACACAAAGCAGAATATTATTCAGGCTTAAAAGGAAGGAAATTCTAACACATGCTACAACATGGATAAACCTTGAGGACATTATGCTAAGGGGAATAATCCAGTCACAAAAAGACCTAGAGAACAAATCCATAAAGACAGAAAGTGGAATGGTGGTTACTTACCAAAGGGCTAAGGGGAGGGGAGAATGGAGAGTTAGTGTTTAATGAATAGAGTTTCAGTTGGGGGGAGATGAAGAAGTTCTGGAGGTGGGTGGTGGTGACAGATGCCCAACAATGTCAGTGTCCCTAACGTCACACTTAATGCATACATAAAAATAGTTAAAATGGTCAACTTTGTTAGGTATATTTTACCATGATTTTTTAAAAAAATGAGATATGGAACAACAAAATCTTAAAATGGGCCAAATTCTTCTCACCCATGCCTTTTCACTACCCACAAAACCAATGAGTGGTCAGTTCAGTTCAAATTTAAATGTTTGCCATGAGCCCCAAGAAATAAATATAACAATAAAGTTTAAAATTCTTTTTAAACCTAAAAAAGTTTAATCGTCTTCCTCAAAATAAAGCCCTTTGCCAAACAGACATGCTAATAGCTCTTATATGTCTAGTTCCGATTAAAAAAGTTACCAAGGAATCCATACGCCTCTCACCTTTGTATTTCAAGCTTTATCCTCAGAGTTTTTCCTTCATTTGTTTTCTGAAGCCTCACAAAGACTTTTTCATTTTTACCAGCAAAACCTTTAGCTAAAATTTTCTCCCCCACAAACTCATAAGGGCTCATCTCTACAAACTAGTACATGTTATCATTTTTACAGTAATCAGAATTCATTTAGTTTCCATCAATTTCAAGTATATATCTCAGAATCTCATTTGTGACTCTAACTCCCAAAAAACAAAAAAAAAAAAAAAAAAAGTTCACATGGGGAAAAACAGAAGCCTGAAATATCCTAGGCTAAATTTTGAGGATCTTTTCTAGTCAAACTCCAGTTCTTCTTACAATACCTTCTAATTTGACAAACTGTTTCAGAAGTAAATGTTCATTAATGAATCAGGTTTTCTGGTTTCCTCTGAGCTACAAAAGTGTACTGCTTTGTTCATGTTCCCTTTGTCCTCACTCTTAAGTGTTCAGCAGATAAAAATCTTGGGGCGCCTCGGTGGCAAATTTCAAAGGCAGATTCTAACAGTTTCCATGCTATAACCACTACATTCTGATATATTTCAACTGTGTTTGTTCATAAACATAAAGCAAACAAATGAAAATTAAAAGGAACAAGAAGTGTCCACATATACTCAAAGGCTGAAAGGCCCAATTTAGAAAAAGCAAATCTCATATTAAAAACTTGTCCTTAATTCATTCCAAAGTAAAGACAAAAGTAGGATTAAACGAGTATGATCATGTTTTCTACATGTATTATCTGAAAACGCAATTACGACCATTTTTTATTTTTAAAAATGAATTCTTTCAAACACCACTTTCTGTATGTAAGTTAATGGTATCATCTCCTCTCCTAAGTCTACTTCCTGTGACTAAAATTGTACAATTTGTAGCTGTTATCACATATGATGTATATATCTAAATGTCAAGGAAAAATGAAAAACACACACCCAGGCATCTTAAAGTTTCTCTGGCATTCAGTTTTTCTCTTTATCAACGTGAGAGAGGGTCCTGATAACAGGTTTCTTTTCATTTGTCCACAGCTATTTATATTAAATTGAGCCCTTTAAAAAGCAAAGTGGGTCTATCTGCCCACAGAGCAGTAACTTGAACATGTCCGAAATCTCCCCTCCCTTCAATTTGCCACACAGAACTTTGACAAATATGGAATTCTGCAAAAAGAAGATTAAATACAGATATATAAAGATCAACTGGAAAAGAATTCATCACCTGGTCATGAGCCTTACCTTTTAGCAGCGGCAGAGGTGTTAACTCAATAGGCTTGCCTTGAGACCTAAACTGTGAGGAACTTTGCGACCTCTTCTGTCTGGCTTTTCTGACGGACTTCCGAGAAAATCCGTCTACTTTATCCACTGATGGAGGAGTAGATGGTGCTGAGGACATATCCCTACTGAAGAGAAAGAGGTATCATAAACATATTCCCAAGGTGGAAGCATATGCGTGAATTACACAAATTCGAAAATTCCCATAAACAATATGCATGAAAACTGGAATGTGTGATGAAGAAAGCAAATTAAATCAATTAAGAAAAGTCATACATTCAATGGGGAAACATGAAAATTTGATGATAAACAGAAGGAATTTAAGTACCATATAAGCAATACTGAAGTTCTAATGCACGGGCTGCTCCCATTCTGATAAGCATTAAAGAAGTTCACTGACACTTGAAGAAGTCTTCTAAGTCATCTACTCATTTTCTATCTGCACAGCTCTTCTCATCTTGAGATTCCTGAAGTAATTGTGGAGCTATTTTGCCACTGGAAAACTTCCATCGATACATTTTCCCAAGATATTTAATATTATAAATGGGCTCTGCAGTTAAAACCTTTATTGTACTTCAAGAATCTACACCATGTATCACAGCAAGGTGAAATTTACAAGTACTGAAACTATCTAGGCATGACTTTTAATGCAATGTGTTGTGTTAGCTATGATAAACTATACCGCACCAGAAATGAGGACAGGTTAGATTACTTTAAACAGAACACATAAAAGGCATAATTAGAAGCATTTCAAAGAAGTCTTCTTTTTGAATGAAGCCATCTTAAGTTATTAAAGCTTAATAAACAAAATTCTGATGAAATCGTGCACCAAAGTTGAAAACATAAATTCACACCCTACTTTGACAACCAAGTTGAATTCCCTTTAAGTTCATCATCAGATATTAATTTTCATTCCATCAAGCTGAAAGAACAGTTCTTTTAGATTTTTTTAACCTTCTCAAATTATTAAAATGAAGGCTAGTTCCTAAAAGTAACAAGACTTAAGCTCAATTTCATTCTCCAATTTAAACATATGCCACCATTTCCATGGCACTGAGGCTCCATGCAAGATTAATGGCAGACTTGAATAAAAATAATGCATATGGGGGAAATACCAAAATGCAATTACTCACCTGTCTCTAACCTCTAAATTAAAAGGTAAGGGAGTTTCTTCCTGAACATGCAAGAATAAAAAGTTATCTGGATTATCCGGATTCCGACAAAGTAAAAAAAATAACAAAAATTTGTTAAACAAAACCCAGGATCTTGAGGTTTGGAATTTTGAAGTCTTGTTTGATTCTCTTTTTAAAAAAAAAAAAAAAAAAAAAGGTTTTAGAAAGCTACCTAATTTAGCCTTAAATAAAATGTGACAGATTCAAAATGGAATTGAAAACTATGAATGACTATGATAGAAGTAAGATCAGTTAAAATTTTTCACAAAGACTGCATCAGCAAGAAGCTCCACATCTCATCTGTATGTTGTAAATTTAGGGGCAGCCTTTCCAATGTGGTATGTGAATTATTTAGATTTCATTTAACCCAAACAACGCCAGATTTCGGTAAATCCTGTTCCTCCATCACTCTTTTTGTCTTTTCTTTATTCCTCATCTCCCATCTCTAAAGTTGATTTATTGCTGGCATTTTTTTTTTTTAAAAAAACGCATTTGCCCCTTCTGCCCGCGGCCCAGAATAAACGTCAAGGATCTCAACCCTAAAGCGCTGCAGAACTGAACTTGCAGTAGCAGTGGGTCCGTGCAAAGCCCGGAGAAACAGGTTTCGCCCTGGACCAGGACGCCAGAAGCTTTATCATCGTCTAAGCAGCGGGCACGGGGCATTTCCAAGGTTCAGGATAATCCAAGGGGGGGTGCTGGGGTGGAGGAGAAAGACAGGGAAGGGGTTGGTCTGTAGGGATGCTGACATACTCCCTTTGCTACCCCCCCACCCCGCCCCAAGCCCTGGAGAAGATAAGCTGTTACAGAATCCTCCTCACTACATCAATCCCCCCCGCCGGCCTCCCCCCGCCCCCCGTCAGTGGATAAAGGGGGGACAAGAATATGCCTCCAAAGCCGGAAGGTGGGGGGGGGGAGAGGCAGAGTAAATGGGCGGCATCGTCAGAAGCCTTTGCAGGTAAATCAGACAAGTGGGACGGGCGCTCCCTCTCCCACACCCCACCCCACCCCACCCCACCGCACCGCTGGCCTGCCCCGGCCAGGCCTTCCCGAAGCCGGTGTTCTGCAGGTTCCTGAGGAAGACCTGGAAGAGGAAAGGAAGCGGGCGAGCCGAGGTGCTGGAGAGACGAAGTTACCTTGAAGCTTCTGGGGAAGAATCCGAAGATGATCTGTGGTTTCGAGGGGAGACCGGTGTGAGGGCCGCAGCGGGGGCGGGTGGCGGGACCGGGACGTGCGGGGGGAGGTCCGGGCAGCTGCAGGGAGCCCGGGGCGACGGCTGTCCGGCGCGGCGTCCCTCCGGTTCCGCGGCGGCGGCGCCTCTAGGCCTCACGGCCGGACCTGAACCTCAGCGCTCCGGCGGTGGCGACGGCGGCGGCAGCCTCACGATCCTCCCCCGCGGGCCCGTCCCATCAAATCGGCACCGACCCCGTTGCGGCTCCGCCGGTGGCTCCTCGCTCACATTCCCGGCGGGCGGCGCCTCTGCTCGTTGCCCCGGACCCGGCGGCGGCGGCGGCGACGTGGGGAGGGGGGGAAGGGAGGGAGGAAGAGTGGATCCGCAGCGGCAGCAGGAGAAGGAAGGAGAAGGAGGAGGAGCCGCTGGAGCTGTAGCTGCCGCTGCCAGAGCCGCCCTTTGGTACCCGCGGTGGGTCCCCGTCAATGCCCCTTTCTCTCTCCTATTGTCAATATCACCGGGCGGCTGAGTCCATGGCACACGCGCAACCGAACCTTCTGGCCAGCAGCGCCCGCCTCCGGCGCCCACTCACTGGAGGCTTCAAACGGGAAGCGAGGCCTCATTGGCCCGCGCCCGCCTTCACTCCCATGCCAGCAGGTTCGTCTGAGAGCCGATCAGGGATTGGCGGCGGGGGGGCGGAGAAACAGGAGGGTGGGAAGAGACAAGGCCGAGGATTGGGCTGAGGCGAGAAGGACCCGGATGCAGCCGCGATCTCCGGCCGCGCTGCTGCAGCTTCCGCCAGGCGGGTGGGTAGGCTGTAGTACGGGAGCACTGCAGCCCGTAGGCCTTTGAGGAGATCCTGAAACCCGGGAGGTGTGCGACTGATAGATCAGTGGGATAGCTGGGTTTCCACGCAATGCGGCTTCTCTGGGCGGCGGTTGTCTTCAGCGAGAAGATTCCAAGGGCAAGGGTCGGCTAAGGGTGGGCCTTGGATACGCCCCCTTCAGCAGCTAGGCTGGCCCTTCTGGGCTTGAGGAGCCCAAACTCGGGACGGGTACCAGCGCTGAAATAAGCTCAGAAAGAAAGAAGATGTCCCGCCCGCACCTGTGCACCACTGTGTCAATGGGCCCCTTGCAGCACGCCCTGAAACCCCCAGCAGTCGCTCTCCCCTGAACCTTGTGGGAGTCCTGGCACCGAAATCTGAACCTCTGGGCCTGGGCCAAGGGTTGTGTATCGCTTCGAATTCTAATTTACCTCGTCTCCGTTTCCCTAAACCTCTCTTTGAGTATCAGCTCCCTGAAGCTCCTGCAAGCCTTGATAGCGGCTAGCCCAGTGTATCTCATGCAGGGGGGATCGCTGTCCCTGTGCTCTGCAATCATTTATCCGGATCAGCTACGTGGGCCCTCCTGCTGCACAGAGCTCAAGGAAACCCAGCTCCAGACTGCACGAGCTTGTGAGATTTTAATTGGCAAACCGAATCCGAAAGAGTTTATGGAGAAAACTTCACTCAACTCTAGCTAGACAAGTAATAAAATACTTAGGGATGTGTTTACGTGCTTGGTGAGCCCAAACCCAAATGGTGCAATTCCAGATAATGTTATTGGGGCTCTTCGTTCCATTTGAATGCACGCCGAGCACATCTTTTTGGGGGGTTGGGAGGGGTGGGCTTGAGGCAGGAAGAAACAAATTCTTAATGGTAACTACAAATGACAGATCACCAGTTGCTAAAAACTTGGAAGACGAAAAATATTTTCTAACATTTATAAACCCTGTTAATATTTTGATGTACTTCCCTCCAGTGTTTTTTTTTCCTTTAATTTTGTATGTTTTGTTCTGTAGCCTAGTTTTTCCCCCTCAGCGTTTTATCATGTTTTCTATACAGTTAAGAAATAAGACTATGTACCATATGTACAAGTAACAACAACAGCAACAAAATGCATTTCTTGTTTGTTTTAACAGTGAGGTGTTGCAAATTTTTATTCACACTCCCGTAAATGGATCTTGAGTGAAAAATAAAATTGTGTGCCATGAAAGATTTTTTTTTTAAATCCGTCTTGAACAAATGAGAAACAGGAAAAGATCGCTTTCTTAGGTAGAAGTGGTTTCCTCCTACTGAATCCAGATGATTGGCCACTGTATAGATAGTACCCATTTTTGCCCTGCAAAGTTCATCACTAGGCCTTATAAAAGTGGCTTTCCTTGCACTTTACACCATTCTCCTTCCTTGCATCTCGGTTTCATATGCCAATCTCCGTGAAAAGTTCAGGGTCCCAGCCATGCAGAACTTTTATGCTCAATCTCTGACTGAGGGAAATGCAGAATTAAAACCAAGGAAGATTTTAAAGCCAACTCCATTTCCCTTGGCAACAGTTGGACCGTCAAAGAGTAGTGCACGTTTGAAATGCTCACAGCTGTTGCTTAGAACATTTCACATTTTGCAGAGTTGGGATTTTGCTTGAAAATTGTGGATCTCTATAAAGAATTCATTTCAAAACTCTTTCATTTTCTATAAAATGGCTGAGTAACTGAAATGAGCAGGTCTTTTAAAATGGGAACATCCTTGCCTATGTGAGAAATTGTTCCTTGGACAATATTTTCTAAAGGAGGTCCATGCAAGCCAGGGTTGTCTATGTTCCAGGAATAGTACAAGGCAATCCGTTTGGAAAGCAGAAGAAGAAAATATGGAGACATCTGCTTATGCTTAATTCTAATTGAGAAGTAGTCATTTAGCTCAATTAATATTTTATATACAGAATAAGTGACCCTGTGCTCAGTCCATGGAATCCTCTCTTGACCTAGAACAGCATAGGAGATGTCCTCAAGGAAAACTGGAAGTTACCCATTTCCAGGGGTGGGCAGTGGAAATCCCACCCAGTCAGTCCCGGTCAACAGGTAGTGACTAATTGCAACTTGCTAGGTTCAACTTAGTGGATTTACTGATGGTTTTACCCAGGCTTAATTTAACCTGTAGAAAACAGACAAACACCTTTACCAGGGTCCTTTGCAAATAAACCACAGGAAAACAAACACTGCAGAACACTTCTAATACTAGATCTTTGACAGCCACATTTCAAAGTTAAAATAACAATCTAATCTAACCAAATTTCTAAAAAAAAAATATCAAATTCATCAATGAGATTACTTGAATGAGGATTTATATCCACTCTCATTGACAATGTCTTTTACCATAAGCATATATTGTGACTGAATCATAAATGAAAGCTTGTACTTTATAAGCAAATATACATATCTTTGGTTAGAAATTGCTTCCAAAAAATATACTGATGGGAATAAATGATCAAAAAAGTTTAGAGACTTGTTACTCTGGTTAATACAAAAAAAAAAAGAAATACCTTTCAGTCATCTGGGAAGCCATTATCGAGTGACAAAATACTGTTCATTACTATCAGATGAAAGCGCTCACTTCCCAGATACCAAGGCTGAGCTTATCATGGATCTACTGAGACTATCAAATGGTGGCTGACTGGTGAACTAAAGAAGCGTCAGATAATAAGCAGAAACATCATCAAACCAATTCTTAGCCACCAGAGGAGGAAAAGATCTGCACTGACAAGACATCACAGAGGTGGACGAGCCCAGTGTTTGTGTTGGGGAAGTGGAGTTTGGGCTGACAGGGAAGAAAGATGAAAAAGCCTGAGGCAAGAGCTGCTCTCTGGAAAAAACAAGAAAATTACACAGCTAGTGTAGACACGGGACTGTGCTGTTATATTTCTCTGAGCCACATTTATCTACACTGGCAACACCCTGAGCAGTGACATTTTCCTGGGTCACAATTTAAGTTTTGTTTTGTTTTATTTTTTTAGAGAGGGAGAGAGAGCATAAACAGGAGGGGCAAAGGGAGAATGAGAGAAAATTTCAAGCAGACTCCACAGTGGACAGAGAAGCCAATATGGGGCTCGATCCCACAACCCCAAGATCATGACTTAAACTGAAACCAAGAGTCGGCACTTAACCAACTGTGCCGCCCGGCACCCCACTTAGGTCACACTGTAAATAGTACAGTCGTGTTTTCAGATGCGCTTCTGGGTGATAGGTTATTCATGGCTTTCCATGTGATTAATGTGTATAATCATGGCTTGAGATTGAAAACATTTAGGTACTCCAGTTTCCTATCTAGCAGTGAGAGACCCTAGGTCACTGATGGATCAAGACAATGGGGAAAGAGAAAAGATGGGGAAAGAGAAAGTCAGCTTCAAGTGCACTTTGGTTCGCACGGGATAAAACAAAATAACATACCACAAACAACAATTTTGCTTTTAAGACAGTTAAATTACAAAATTAAATGAACTAAAGCTATAACTAATTATAAGCACAATGCTGATTACACAGACTCTGGAATCAGATTTACCTGAGGTGGAATCCCAGCTCACACAGTCAGGAGCTGGGGCAAATTATTCACTTGTCACATCCTGGGTTTCCTGGCGTGTAAATGAACAGACTCATACTTCCTAACTCCTGGGGCAGTCATCAGATTTTCATGAGGTTATGCATTTACTACATGACACATGTCTGCACGTGTTCACTGCTCAACAAACACTAGTTATGACCATAATCATCCACTTTGTTTGTATTTTAATAGTTGCTATCCATCTAGAAACTTCTAGAAAGTTTTTTTTCCCCTCAAAATTTTATTCTGGCGTGTCCCATTGTGACAGGAAGAAAACAAGAAGCAAGGAAACCAGGCATGCCTTTCAATCCACTTCCATGCTAAATCATAGACTGTGAAAGCATTCATTAGCAATAACAAGAATTTGCATCTTACAATATCCATATACTTCTAAAAGTGAAAAAATGGTCGTTTGACTTAACATCCTTTCAGAGCTTTATCTTCTTTCCTAATTGGCATTCCTTTAAAAGAGGCTCAAACTATTTTTGCTCTAAACTTAGCTATTTCTCTTCCTCTCTGTAACCTGAAGAATGGCACTAGGAACAAGGTCCTGATTTCTGTCCTAGCCCCGCCCTTAGTAATAGCCTAGACTTGATGTGGTAGATATCTGCTTCCCGTCCACCACTGCCTTTCCTTGGAGGACCACACCACTTCCCTCATGTGATCCTGGTGGACAGGTAATAACCACGCTGCTAATGTCTTTCCTCCCTGCAGAGAGGTAAGTACAGGACCCAAGGAGATCAAATCCAAGATTTCCTCTCTGAATGTTGGGAGAGGGATACCTTTCTTCCTCTTGGAACAAAAAACCGTAGAAAGGATGTAAATTAGAGCTACATGTCACCATTATCCTCTTCTTCCTCCATCTTAGAGGAATCCAATATGGTAGAGGTAACTTTGGAAAATGCCAGGTTTTAACAACACAATTGGAACTGCTGGATCCAGTTCTGTTTGAAGGTAGTTTCAATTATATGAGCCCGTAAATTCCCTTTTTTGTTTAAGCTACTTTGGAGTTGAGGTTCTATAACATATGCCCAAAAGAATCCTGGCTTTTAAGGCACAGGCAAGTCACTTAACCTCACCAAGCCTCACCTTAGACCCTGGATCTGGGGTTTTCTAGGAGT